GGAGGTCTGGGCACCTGCCACGATGACACCCTCGACAAAGACGGCCATTACAGGTGCACGTGCAACGACAACATTGAGTCGGGCACGGATCCTTTCTATGGGACCCCGCTATGCAAAAGTCAGGGAGCCCTCTTGATGCAACGTCCAAGCGGACTCATTTATCCTTCTTTCCTCTGTGCGTGCGATCGTGTCCAGAACCTCAAGATTGCGAGTCTGACGGCAAGCGATGGTGCGCCGGCCCGTCACTGCAACAGGACCGCGAAGAGTACGAGACGTGCGTGCGGGGTGGCTGCCTTTCGATTTGAGGGCGGCAAGGAGGTGAGAATGGAGACCATTGATGAGTTGATGACTTGCGTCTCGCATAACTCTGCCTGTCTGTCTTCGCAGGCGTACAAGTACACCTGCAATGACAGCTACAAGCAGCTCAAGTTCGTCAAGGACAGAAAAACACAAGACGGCTACTACCAGAAAGAGGGCCTTCCGTTCTGCGCAGGTGCGCGATGACAAGGAGTGTCTCCAGTCACCATCACTGCCGGCTTGTATCTCATCTTGTGGCCTGCGTGTTGGTCAGCGGACTGCGAGGCTCTCGGCAAGGACATGTGCGGTGGCAAGGAAGGCCGAAAGGGCACGTGCATTAAGGGAGACATCTCTACTGACGCAGACGCCATCGGGGAGTCCCCCAGCCAGTCATACTAGTGTGAGTGCGCCACTGAGTATGCACTGCCGACGCCCGAGACCCACCCAATCACGCAGACCCCCTTCTGTAGAGGCGCTGAAAGTGAGCAATGGCTCCTTTGTCGGCCACATTTCAATTTCTGCGTTGTTCAGAATCATGTACAAAACCACAACAAAGGGCTTGCTATGGACCGAACTTGGAAACAGAATACGAGCGCGGCAAACGAGGGCAATGTCTCCTTGATGAGTGGGATAAAAGTCACATGTGCAGATGCAACACTAACGATTATGGCTTCAAACCGACAAAGCAGGAGGATAAATGCATCGGTGAGTGGATGCATAACTTTCATCAATGGCTTTCAGGATAGGTCGGGCTTCGCTTTTAGGTGACTGTGAGAATCTTGGAGTGTATCTGTGTGCCGGCATTCTCAAATTCGACAGCATACGGGATTGGAACAAGAAGATGAAAAAGGACCTGCCGCTAAACGAAAACAATCGAATAGGTCAGGACTTCCCTTTATATGGTATGTGCCATCCTCTTTTGCTTGTTCAGGTATTTGTAAATCGCATGCGGACAGAGACAAGGATTAAAAGTGCGAGTGCAAGGATAGAAAGGAGGATATCAAGCGATACGGTCTTGTAGTCTGGTCGAGGCATGAAAAGACCCAGACCGACCAGTGTGAATGTGCTGAAGGCTTTGTGATTGATCAAGTGGATTCGACGGAGCCATCCTATAAATGCTTCAGTAAGCGAGGAGACTGATTACGGATTCCATAGTGTGCCATGGCTTCTCCTTCCTGCTACAGTTGGATGTTGGAAGTACCGTGAGCTTTGTGAAGGGCCAGAGGGATCGAACCTTGGTGAGCTCGGTCAAGTGTCAAAGTAAGGCAATGTGCATTCGTGTCTCTGCGTGTCTTTCCGTGAAGGCGACTGCAAGAGGGCTTCCCACTCTGATTATCTCTGCGACTGTGACAATGGGAAAGCAGTAGAGGTGAAGGTAGACGGCACAGAGACGAAGTTTCGTGAGCTCGCAGGCCTCAAGGTCTCGACATGCAAAGGTGAGTCAACTTTTATTTGTTCTTACCATAGCGGTCATTTACAACACTGCTGACGGATGCATACTGATAAAATCGTTAACGAACTTAGCCAGCTTATGTTTGGATGACGAAATGTCTTTTGTATGACAGCGTTGTGCATTGAGGAATATCAGAGACATTGCGAGGGTCCCTTCAGCACAAGAACGGAGGAGCCCATCAAATGGGGAGAGTGCTACGACATGGATATCGAGAAAGACGTAAGCGCAGTAATCTATCACGAAACGTCAGTACAGACACAGCGCATTCCATCTATCGTTTTGTCCTGTTTCTTTCGTCCTCGATAGGATTACAAGTGCAAGTGCGGCCAAGAATACGAGAGCAGAAGAAATTCAGAGGGCAAACAAGTGTGTCAAGGTATCCCACCATTGTCCTCGGGCGGCTAGAAAATGCTTCGTGTCTTTGTAACTGCCAGCGACTTGCAAGAGCTTGGGAAATAGCTTGTGTCGAGTCAATGACGGAGGAAACACCCGCAGCGACGACGAGCGCGACGCAAAAGGCCACCTCATCATCGACAAAAAAGAGCACTACACGTGCGCGGAAGGGAATGAAAAAGGGCTGGATCCACACCGCCACACTCCGATGTGCACATGTACGTTCTCGCGGCCTTGCTGGCTTCAGTATGCCGTTAATCATGTAGCCTTTCCTGCATTCAGACCGGCCAAAGGAGCAGAGATGTGAGGAGCGGCGTGACATGCCAATCGAGTACATCAAGAAATGTCGCGGGCCCGTCAAAGAGCCTGAAAGGCCCGAACATGATAAGTTCATTAGGGGCGAGTGCTTTGTTTTTTCAGACAAGCCGGCCAAAGTGAAACAAGACACAAACACGCGCACACGTGCACAAAGTGGCTAGACACTGTCGGGTGTTCTTCGTCCATCAGGAATATTTCTGCAAGTCTCGAGAGGGACAGAAACCATCGGAAAAGCCCTATAAGGAGTGCTTGAGTAAGAGAGCAAGGCTGACAATCCCATTTCGACTACTAGTGCAATTCCCTCGTCTATATGCAGCAAACTGTAAAGTGCTGGGGGATGACCTTTGTGGCGTTAATCCTTCCGAGTCAAAGAGCGTGTGTCTCAATAAAGGAAAGGATGGCTACCAGTGCAGGTGTGACTGTAGACTGCCTTTCGGGCCTCGCATACACTCAATCGCACAAAGAGAGTACTGCGGAGGTACAGCTGATAGATACCCCGAGCACAGACACGGATTGACAAATTCTCTTTCTGTGAATCAGCCGATTGCCTGGTTGAGATCAAGAAGCACAAGAAGGGCGACGATACTTGGAACAAACTGAAAGAGGGCATAGACTTGTGTGTCGGCCCTTCGGCCGATCTGGAGAAGTCTGAAGCGACATGGAACAAGGATGGCTTCAGAGGCTCATGTCTCGTCGTCCCCAGCGGAGGCTACGATTGTGCTTGCGATGGAAAGCTGGGATATCAAGCCACCGTCTTTGACGGGAAGCCTATGTGTCGAGGTAAATACTGACAACGGGCAAATATGTTCCTAGCTCAACACACTATCTCTCTGTCTGCGTGCCTCCAGGGGGCTGCAAGGTTTATGACGAGCGCAAGGGTTGTGGCGAGCGCCCGGGTCATGGCGAGCATCTGTGTATGGGTCATGGTGCTGTGACAGAAGCTTCAGATGAGGACAGTCAATTTAACGCGATTCGCCACATAGGCAGATGCATAGACTTCCCTGAGGACCTCCAGATGCCATTCCTAGACTACAAAGCTTCAGACGGTGCTTAGAAGGAAAGAATGAGGAGAAACTGAAGCTGCTCACCAATTGGCCTCGTTTCCTTACAGGGTATTATTGCGAGTGCTATGGCGATCAAACTGTTGCTGAATCTCGTCAGGGGGCGGCCTCGACGACTCAAACAACTACAAGTGAGGAAATATGATACTTTTCTGCTGAAGTCACTGCCATCCCCTACCATCCTACGCCACTGACAGCAACAACTACGACAACCAAGGGCGGCGACAAAACAACAACAACCACGAAAAGTAGGCGACTGTAAGATCTATGCTTCATCTGTTTGCCTTGCATCTCTTTGTCCGTAGCCGTCCAGCAGAAGATCTACAGAAAATCAGGGAAGCTGCTTGAGTCAATGCGCGATCAGCAAGAGGGTAACAGAGCGTTTGACTTGAATCTTTCTGCATTTGTTCTTGTTTTGCTGTCAGCGACCAGGGCTAGGCAAGCAGAAGGCCTGGGCCCTTCAAGTAGGCCGAACTTCTCCGCACACGAGCCGCTCATTTATCTCCTTAATTGAATGTGCAGAACGGGGCAGGTTCAACACAGGAAGCTGTCGAGCTCGGAAACTCCAGTATGACTGTTGAAGACCTTGGAGTCAGTAGAGATATCTACGCGAGAAAGGACGGCAAGCTTTTGGACTTTGCTCGCTCGCATCGTTTGCGTCTCGGAGAGAAGGAAATCAACTATGGGCCTCCGTATGATACCCATAATACCGACGCTCTGAAGTCGCTCAACGACGGATGGAAGCGGCAAGGCCTTGAGAGCAAAGTCCAGCCTCTGCTGAGAAATGTACTCACTGGAGGCCCCGAGTAAGTTTGCAAGGGTGATCATCAGTCATGGCATTTTGTCTGACCATTTGCTTGCAGGTGTCGACGCATACCAGAATGTGCGGATCATATTGATATGGGGCAGGATTGCTATTGCAGCGCCTCACTAGGCTGCACCACGGCGAACGCCTGCATCAAAGAAATCAACAACAAGCGAGACTTGAATGTCTTCAGTGTGCGCACCAACTCGAGGAGGGATGAAGACGAGGACTGCTCGATGTGGGGCGACCCATCTCTCGACAGGGAGCAGTGGCGGCGGGGCCAAAAGGGAGAATGCCTCTGGTACTGGCAGTATAAAGTGCTGAGGCCATACGGCCCTTGTTCTGACCTCAAGGGACATCACTCGCAGGTGGCGGGTTTAAAGTATCAAAGTAAAAGGAGCAACCGATGCTGGTGCATTACCGAGAATAGCTGTACGACCGTGGCATATTGCCTTCTGAACGCCAAACCTATGGGGCCAATCCACTACGGCGATCCGGGAATGCCTGTCTCGAAGACCAAGTACACGAAGGGCTCTCTGAAGGGCTATTCGCCTACCATCCGGACAAAAGACGCAAGTCTGAAGGGCAAACATATACGGCAGCGGAAAGGAACCGTGTATGAGTATAAGCTGGAGAATAAATGCGGCGCCTGGGACGATTACAAGAAGAAGTTTAGCACTCCGAAGAAGGATATCAAGTGTGTGAGCAAGCCGAAGGAGGGGTGCGAGAAAGGGGTCGGCTGTGGCCCCACCAAGGGCAGATGTGAAAAAGAACATTGACGAGCTTAGGCGAGCATTCACATCGTTCGGTGTTCGCGTGTCTCTTCTCTTGTCCGATTCTATCCCGGTCGCTTTTTTCTTTCAGTGTTGCGCATTTGATGTCACTCGTGTGCTGAGACACATTCGTGTGATGGCGCGGCGTTTGTTAACGATTAATGACAATGACTCGATGGGTGTTGATTTGTGGATACTGCATCAAACATCCTCCTAAGCCTTCACAAAGACCGTCCACATATATGCACTCATCCTTAGCACAGATCGAGACAGGCCTACGGGTCCTTCCTGTCACCCTGCAGCGTCCTCTTTGTTCATTCCCCTCTTATCCTCTCTCTCTTTCCCTCTGGCCATTTCCTCATTGAACGAATCATGTAGAGCATGCGTCAGCACCACTGTATGCCACGTCCTTTGTGACACATCTGGCGCTTTCCCTTGGAAGTGAAAAGACTCCACGCTTCTGCAGCATGCAAAGAGAACATGCAGAGGTTTAGCAACACACTGGTTCACCACTGCCCGCTCACTTCGGGCTGCCGTCAGCCTCAGGAATGCTTCGTGTCTTTTCTGCTGCGCCATGACATGACGTAGCAGAAAGCGGACGGCCTGTGAGAGGGGTCTGGTTGGTGTTCTCCTGAGTCTGCGGCTGTGGTACCCTAGAGCGGCGAGTGCCGGACAGCGGGAAAGGCTGAGGTTGAGTCGGCAGTCGATAGTAGCGGCTCGCTGAAATGGTCCCAGCGGGGCTGACCCAGGGACATGAGCCGGACCAGAACCTGTCGTGCGCTTTGAGTTGGGTCACACACACACACACACACACACACACAAGAGAATGTAAGGCAATTGGTGTGTCTCTCTGCGTGTTGTGTACATTTGTTCGACCACAGCCTTTTCTGCAGCTCCGATTGGTTTGCCCTGTGAGTATTGAAACGACCGATCCAAGCAGCAAATGACTGCGACAAAGGGGAACGTATCAGAATACAATGGCAAGGTCCGCTATACAATGCCGCACCTCATCCTTTCTGTTCTTGCATCTGGCAATCTGCGCCTTCGAGAGCCTTTTCGCTGCTTTCTCAGCTTCGCTGTCGATCATGACAGCTGCTGGCGGCCCCTCGCTGAGCGTCACTCGCTTCTTGGCGGCGAACTCTTCTCTTCTCTCCCTTTTAGCTTCCTCGGCCTCGAACCGATAGTCGTGTATAAAGTTGGCGTAGGACGGCGATCTTCGCAGTAGTGCATCCTCGTCGCTGATGTAGTCTCCGTCTGGTGTCGCTGCAGGACCTGGCCGGGCAGATGGCGGCCGACCTCTCTTGAGCATGGGATACATTAATGTGTACCGACTGTTGAGCCTGTATGCTGGCAGATCCACAAACGATTTGCCAGCCGCGCCCCTTGACTGGCTCAGAGTACTATGGTCGCCCCAAGCCGGGTGCTGCGGGGTTGTACTGACCTTGTCCGGCGACATGCTGATAGACGTCTGTGTCGTGCCATCACATGTTCGGATGCCCAGCAGATAGGGCTGCAATGCGTGGTGCACGTGAAGCTTGGAAGTCACCTCGTGGCTGTAGTGCACCGGCGCCTGAGGGCTCCGGCGCGATGAGCACAAGATGATCGGCGACGTCTTCCCCGAGGGGACGGGCGTGTGGACATGACCGCATGTGGGCGCCTTCTTTGCCGTCTTGTCGTCTGCAGCCGACACCAATGCGGCACGCGAGTGGCTCTTGGCAGATGATTTCTTGCGGGACGCCCTGCGATGTTCTTGTGCCTCGAGTCGGACAGGCGCTTTGGCTTTTACAACTGGGGGATACAGGCACTTGGGGGGTGGCCTTGCCGGCTTCTTCTTCGCATCACGTCTCGCTCTTGCCCTTTCTCTGTCGTCAAGCTTCTCATCATCTGGCTTCTGAGATGCCTGGTGGGGAGCGCACTCGCATATATATACATCCCCTGAGACAGAGAAAACAGCAGCCACCTCAGAAAGGCAGCCTGGCGTGCAAGTGCTGTGCGAACCTTCCATTCGGCTGCGTGTTGACAGGGCTGACGGGGATGGGGAAGACGACTGATACAACATTGTACTGTGAGTCAAGCCGAGCTCAGTCAAGTGCGCGTTCATCAAACTCCAAGGGAAGTTCGTGAACTTGAGCTGGCAAGCCACATGGGGGCGATAACGAAGGAAGGGGCTCAAGAGCTGCAGTGGAGGGCTGTCGCTCTGATATGCGAGGGTTGCCTGGGCGAGTGCGGCAAGGCCTCTCTCGCTGCCGACCTTGCGCAACCGGCCGGGCGGGACGGTGCTTTCTGCCGGGGGCCGAACAAGGACAGGAGGGGCCCGCTCAGCAGCCTCGTGCACTTCAGCACTTGCCGCAGAAGAGACGGCCTGGGGGATGATCACAGGCGGCTTGACGGAGGTACTGGACTGACGGAGCGCATCGCTCAAAGCCTGGCATGTATCTGCGGGGAGAGATACCTGCATCAGCAGAGTGCCCCATCGTACACAAGATGAGTGATGTGTGTCTCGAATGTTCCCGAGCAGCGTACCTTGCGCGGAGGGAACCGTCGCCTCTTTTCCTTGCTTGTGAGCCTCAGAACTTCCTTGCGATACTCCTCCGGCATGGACGACACGAGGGCCTTCAGTTCTTGCCGGTTTCTCTCTGCCCTGCGACACACATGCAAGACACGCACAAATCACCACGTGACAGATGACATTCTCATGGCGTACTCGTCTTCCAGCTGCTTCCAGAGAGCCACCTTCTCGCCCAACCACCGAGAGGCAGCGATGGCTCCCTCAGGATGCTTATCAGATTCTCTCTTCGGCATGCACTTCTTCGATTTGCCTTTGCGGTGCTGTCCCTCCCCATCAGTCTGAGATTTGCTGCTCTTCACAACAGCTGGAGAGCTGGCTTTCGACCGGGAATTCTGGTGCATGAGGAACACAGGAATTCTGGCAGCCCCTTCCTTGAAGTGGAGCTCGCCCCCCAGCTGGCCCCCAGTCTTTTCCCCCTGCAACTTCATGAAAGAGCTGGCAGACAAGCTGGCCCGCCTGTTTGCTCTTGGGTCTTGCCTTCTGGCAGTGCTCTCCCGGAGCCTCTCCGTCCTTCGTTGAAGCCTTTCGGGATCAGCAGCCGCAGAGATTACATGGACGTCTATTCACTGCAAGGCTCTCACTGCACTCACTCGCCAGCCTCGGCACACGCAGCAGTGCAGGATGGCAACGAGACCGCAGATCTGGGAGCGAAATAGCCCTATTCCGTCGTCAGCAGCACCATTGGCCAACATCGTTTCTCAATATGGAGTTGAAGCGCAGCCACTCACAGCAGCCCATCCACCGCTCCAATGTCAGCTTATCCGTCCATCGACCCCCTACCGCCGTCAGCCCCGCATCAGCATCGCGGGATGCCATCCGGCCCATGCAGTCACTGAGCTTTCCAGAGCAGTACAGAATCGCTCACGTCGTTGTGTACGGGCTTGGCCGCCCGGACAGACGCAACATGAAGGTGCCCAAACTCTCTTACCGCAACTTGCTCGACGCACAGGCCCATGCTCGCCAAGGAGCTATTCTCCCAGATTCCCTGAGGGCTAAGGAGGCATACTTGTGGATATTGTTTCAAGAAGTGGCCTCTGCGCGTATGGGCGTGCCGCGAGACAAATTGTGGAAGCGGCAACTTTTTCGTGGGAACGACAAAGTGCGCAATAGTGCGACTGCATCTGGTGATGAGATGGTGATTGAATTCGAAATCAAGGGCAGGGATGCCGATGCCGATGCCGATCTACTACGGCTCTATCGTGTAAGAAGCGCCTAAAGAGAGCTGCCTACATCATCGCACCAATCAATTGACGCTGCTGTCCAGTGTATTGAAGACCCGCAGAGCAGCTTTAATACGGGGCCATGGGGAGAGACGAACAAGCGTGGGGCGAAATTAACGGCACGCACTGAGCTCGTGGTGGATTCATATGAAGAATCGTTTTCATCGTCTGACATACTCTTTGTTCGCATCATGGGCAGGTAACTACAGCAGAGATCTGTTCACATAATCGAAAACGCACCTTCCCTCCCCTACACTCCTGCTGTGCCTATGGGTGCAGAGAGATGGCAGAGCCAACATGGCCGGAAGAATTCTACTTCGTTTTGCTTTGTCGCGGCACTCAGCGGCCCGCCGATTGTTCACAGCGACCAGCCCTTGATTTTGATAAGGGATATGGAGAGAGCGATAGGAAAGCAGGGATATACATGTTTGAGAAGATAGCCAGCATTCGCATAGAGAGTGAGGGCATGTATTTCTTAATGAATGCGGCGCCTCAGCCGGCTCCGTTCGTGGCTGTTACCGGATTTTTCTACCCTGGTGACGTAACGCTTACATCAAGTGGTGCGATACGCAGGCTAGAGATGCCGCTGCTTCTTCATCAAGGTCAGGGAAAAATTGTGTAACGTTCAGTACCGATTTTCCTTCCCGTGTGTCACTCGCAGGCGAGATTGTCCTTCAGATGGTCACCGAATCCTCGTTGGTCATCCACACAGCGAGGTGCCAAATACGAAACGAAGCTTTGCTAATCGAGTTTTCTCCATCTTATGTGATTGCAGACGAATCATGGCTACAGGCTCTCAATCGTGCGTGAATCGACGATTTCATGCCCAGATGTGCAAGAAAGGCCGGCACAAGGGCGGATACATGGGAGTTTTGATTGGTCATGCGGCGTGCTACCCGCTGTCTCATCCAGGATGGAAAACAGATGGTCAGACAGGAGAAGACCATGAGAAGACATGTTCTCTTTCATCTCCCTGGGATCTCCAAGTAAGTGTTCGCGACACGTAGTTGTGATGGCTGGGTTGTGTGTTGGTCAATTGGCTTCAGATCAGGGAGTTGACGGAAGATACGGACTACTATATCAACCTTTGGGACGCCACAAACTCGCCCTCCGGCGTCCTTATTGGTCAGCGATTGGGTGCATGCTCTGGCACTCATTTACTAGCTCCTACCTTGCAGGACGGACAAGGGAATTTAGAATGAAGCATCTGGCATCAAGGGCCGCTGGCGAGGCCAAGATCACATTAAGTGTCTTCTCAAAAGAGACACACGGTGAGAGCCCAATCATGCAGATGTACAGACAGTAGACAGACGGCTGTGTCTGCAGGCTACATTGTGATCGAGGCTTGGGCAAGCACTGATGGAGATGGCGTGATCATCATCCAGAGGAAGGAAGAGGACAAGGAGAGGAATGGAATTGTGATTTACGATGTGAAGAGCCTTGGACAGTCGACATATGGATGGCACAAATGTGAAGACGTATTTGCACGATTGTAAGCAACGAAGGACACAGAAAAAGATTTGAGTATCATCTTGGCTTAAACGCACAGATGCAGCGACAGCATCGAGGATGTTGAAGATGCCGCTCTCTCAACTAGCTGCAACACATTTGACACATGGTGGACGGCGATGGGACATACCGCAATAGACACGAAGACAAGCGGCGCCGATCAAAGGCTCTGCAGTCTCGTCGTCCCGTGGAGACACAGAGTATGAATCCATTCGCCGATTCTCAGCTATCTCAGATGAAATATGGCTGACTTAAATTTGTCATCAGATAACGCACCTTCATCCGGCTGTTCTCTTTTTTGTTGACATATGGGCGAGACGTGATATCGAAGGGAAGGTGGAAGACTCATACATGGGTACAGGCATCGTTTGTCTCTCGGTGGCCTTGAGTTGCCCCCTTCGATGCAGGCCACACGGACGCCTTCCACGTTTCGTCTTTGGTGGAGGAAAGCGCGTTTGTCATCATAAGTGAAGGTAAGATATCACTCAGTATGCCATCCCGCACAGCGTCGCTCATATCAGGGAAGCAAAAAGCTCCAGAGAAGCCGAAGCAGAAAGATTTGAGCGATTCGTCATACAAGGGGACAATATGGGTACTCAAGTTGTCTGCTGGCGATTACCGGCTGATCATTCAAGATGGACGGTACACCCACTCATCGAGACTGTCGACGAGACACCATGCTCTAGAAGTGCTGAGTCTGCTGTGCTTTCAGCAACCTCCCTAGTGACTCGTCCGACGAAGATAACCAGAGATTTTTCGCGACCATCTGCGCCGGCGACCATGACGACCATCTGAAGACCATCGAGGAATGCATGGCCAGCCGAGAAGTGCAGGCAGACAATCGAGAGCCACCTCTTACAAACGACGATCAAGTAGAATCATCGGCTCTTGGAATAAAGACACTCGACGGTCGATCTGATGTGAACAAAGACCGTCAGACTGGCATCGCGTGGGGGACGCAACAGGTACGAGACGGAAGTGTTGATTGCATCGACGAAGATGAAGGAGTATCTCTGTGCAGCTGTTGCCCTTGAGCAGTGGCAAAGGCGAGCACCATTATATCGCCGTGTGGGAAGTATCAGAGACCAACTCTCTCCCTCGTCTTGTGGGTGAGGACGTCAGCTCGAGTAAAAGTCTGTCAGTCATTTGTCTCTGTGTGTTCCAGGAGTAACGATGATCTTCTCGATTGGCGTGGACCGTGTCGGCTCGTCGTGATTCGATTTGAAGATGCCAAAGCCTCCGTCAGGACCCTGTCCACTTGCAGCCGAGAAGGCATGTGCCGGCCCACATTCGCCAAACATCAGATGGGGCAAATGCAAACTGATCAGTCGTCAAGGGGCCTATGAATGTGACTGCGGCGAGCCGGACTTTGTTCCCAGTGCGGACAAAAGCCATTGTGTAGGTAGGAGCTAAGGAAGAGTCCTCGATCTGAATGAATGTTAAGGCTACCTGCCGTCTGTGCTGGTCCCAGCAACATGCAGCAGTCTTGGCAAGAGGCTATGCGGTGATGGGCCACCTATCAACGATGCAGAAGTCGGAAGGTGTGAGGTGAGAAATGTGCAAAGACACCAGACACACACATTCGTTGGCTGTCGTATCTCCAGGAGCCTGATCAATCGCAACGATTTGAGTACAAGTGTCATTGTGGTGTGCGAGGGCTTCATGAATGGGCAGGCGCTGTCTTTGTGCATCCCAAACATGGAACGCCAATCTGCAGAGGTGAGCAGTTCCAACACTCATTGTTGCTTAGATTTATGTACTGCATACTGTTTCCGCAGCAAAGTGCGAGAGCTTGGCGGAAAGGCTGAGTGATGAGAACCCCCAAGGAGTTGTCGACTGTCGGGGCAAGGGCAAAGAGGATTCGGCCTTGCCGGAGGAGTTTGCGAGAGGCACATGCATCTTGGACGTGGAGATGACGCAGGACGGCTCGCAGAAATTCACGAAGCATCAGTGCTTGTGCAGCGCCGGATACAAGAGGATCGTCATCCATGGTGCCAGCTACTGCATAGACATCTGCCGGGAAAACTCGTTGGGTGTGCAGCTGTGCGAGGGTGGTCGACCGGGAGGACGCAAAGGTGCTCACTGCTCAGCGATATTCCACTTCGCTGTATTGACAACCGCCTTTTCGTCAGGCAACAAACTTGGAGTGTGCAAACCGCCAGAAGCAGACAGCACGAACTATTCTTGTGAATGCAACCCGCCTGCAAAATACATGGAAGATAATCCAAGGACACACACGGCGATGTGCATCAGTATGGCTGGCTTCACACACAACGCACTTTGTCCTTTGTACGCTTTGGCGCTGCCGACTATGCTACTGTGTCTATCAGGTGAGTGTGGGAGCAGCGGCTCTTCACTGGCAGCCGGTCGCTTGGCATGCATGGGCTCTAAAGGGCTCTCGAGGCCGCGAGGAGTCTGCTATGAATCACCTGACTGGGAAGCGACAGGCAAGGTACGTGTGAGGGATTTCGTGTCTCAGTCTGCAAATTGCTATTATTGTTCAGTACAACTGTGAGTGCGACGCCACGCTGTACACTCACGTCGTCACAGCTGAGGGGGAGAAGTGCGTAGGTAAGACGATCTTCTGGATAACAAACGTGTTGTATACATCTTTCCTCTGTTCCAGCGCCGTGCGACTCGAGTGCAAGCGAGCATTTCAAAGGTCTGGGTCATTCTCTTTGCAAGGAAGGCAATCTCGACACACAGACAAACCCAGATTCAGAGGAGAAATTTGGAAAATGCAAGGATTCGGACAACCCCGGCGAGGACTACATTTGTGAAGAGTGCTCAGCGGCTGCAGAGCGCATGGATTTCCCATTTACCCTGACTGAGATGTGCAAACGGCTTGCCACATGCCCGGAATCTAATCGCGGCTTTTGGAATTGCCGTGCCGGCAGTGGGGAGCATTCAGATGATAATAAGTACTACAGAGGCGGTTGTTTGGTGCTTGATCATCCGCAGGGCGCTGTCGCCTACGATTGCGACTGTTCGGGTGCAAACAGTGAATTCCGCGAGTCGAAGACCCTGTATGTCAAAGATGAGAGCAACAGAAAAAGGCCAGTGACGTGTGCAGGTAGGATGAGGTGAAGTGAAATGTTCGTTTGCATGTCCTGTATGCCTCTGATTGCTTCAGTCCCCTGTGAGGCCTTTGACCATCTTGGAACAAAGCTTTGTGAGAAATGGGGAGACATGTAGAGGCAGCACAAAACGGCGGACGCCTTGGGCGGCAAGAAGCGAGGCAAATGCGTGGGCAACCTGGAAGAAGAAGAAGAGCTGGTCAAGGTCAAAACAAAAGGTGAAGCGCACGAATGAAGGAAGGACCGCACGCTTGTTCGTCCATCGTTGCCTTATGCGGTGTCTTCAGGCTCGTATTCCTGCGAGTGCTTTGCCGATTTTGCCTTGACAGAATCGTTGATATGGAAGCCGAGCGCGACGGAATATTGCGCTGGAGCTGCAGGGTCCTGCAGCAAAGAGGCGATGCAGCGATGTCGCGGGCCTGAAGAAGACCGAGAGGACAAGCAAAAAGAGTGGTTCTGGGGTGAGTGTATCCCGCGCGATGAGTTCGGAGAGGGAGGCGAGGCAGAGAATGAGTGTGACTGTGCATTCTACACGACGCATGGGCACAAGAACGGACTGGCTACGAAAGCCTTCCCTCTCGACGGGAAATCCAACCAGCAATGCATCGGTACTCCTACACGAATCATTATTGGTGGCACGGTCTATTGTCAAATGGCTGTCATCTGCAGCTGGATGTGAGGGCTTCGGCGACCTGCTGTGTGGAGGGGTCGACAGCGAAGAGACGCCGATCGGCCAGCTGAAACTGCCAAGTCAGGAGGAGGCCCTTGGCATGTGTCAGCCCGTCGCGGAGCCGGAGAGCAGTACACAAGGCTACGAGTGCGTGTGCCGTGAAGACAAGCAGGCCGTGAGGGACATCCACAAGCGCATACAGACGCAGATGTGTACGGGTGAGTGGCTGACTTGGCCAGACAGAGACGGGCTGCGTGTATGTTTGTATGTGTACATCAGTCGGCAAGCTGTGTACGGAGGGATCGCCTGAAGACAAGAGCTGCAAGGGCGAGGGCGTGGCGGAGGAGTATGTTCGAGGAAAGTGCTACAAGCTCTCAGAAAGCCTTGCCGACGAAAACAACATGAGCGAACGAACGGGACACATCTATGCCCACCAATGGCTTGGCCCATAAATGCATGACCGTGTCACGTGCCTGACTTGGTCTGTCTGTCTGTCTCCCTCAGGTGACGTATCGGTGTGGGTGTCGAGAGGGCTTCAAGGCGATTCTTGTCAAGCAGCCCACTCCGAGGCAGTTGTGCGTGCCCACCTGCAGCGCCCTCGAGACGGGGGAGCGGCGAGGGCTCGGCCACCTGCTGTGCTCGAGCAACCTGCAGGGCCGCCAACCTGACAACAACAGCCAGGATCACGTCCGCGGTGAGTGCGTCGACAGTGAGGACGTGCTGATGGAAAACGGCAATCGGGGGTACCGGTGTCAGTGCAAAGTCACCCACACCCTCATACCCTCTGCTGACTTCACGACGGACGACCCAAGCAATCCGATCAGCGGCAAGGCGGAGGTCTTCGCATCGAGTCAAAGCGAGTATTGTCCAGGCGCCAAATTAGCCTGTCCGCTCAAAGGCCAAACCGCCTGTCGCGGGCCTGCTGCAGCGAGCGGCGACGTGCAGTGGCTGTGGGGGGAGTGTGTGCTGCCTCCTCCAGACAAAGATGACGGCCTCGGCGATACCTTCGCCTGCAAATGCGGATTCTACAAGAGCCAGGCCAAATTTGAGACAACCTACGACAAACAACACAACAAATGCATCGGTACTCGCACAAGAATACTTATTGGTGGCACGGTCTATTGTCAAATGGCTGTCATCTGCAGCTGGATGTGAGGGCTTCGGCGACCTGCTGTGTGGAGGGGTCGCCAGTGAAGAGACGCCGATCGGCCAGCTGAAACTGCCAAGTCAGGAGGAGGCCCTTGGCACGTGTCAGCCCGTCGCGGAGCCGGAGAGCAGTACACAGGGCTACGAGTGCGTGTGCCGTGAGGACAAGCAGGCCGTGAGGGACATCCACAAGCGCACACAGACGCAGATGTGCACGGGTGAGTGGCTGACTTGGCCAGACAGAGACGGGCTGCGTGTATGTTTGTATGTGTACATCAGTCGGCAAGCTGTGTACGGAGGGATCGCCTGAAGACAAGAGCTACAAGGGCGAGGGCGTGGCGGAGGAGTATGTTCGAGGAAAGTGCTACAAGCTCTCAGAAAGCTTTGCCCACGAAAACAACGTGAGCGAACGAACGAGACACATCTATGCCCACCAATGGCTTGGCCCATAAATGCATGACCGTGTCACGTGCCTGACTTGGTCTGTCTATCTGTCTGTCTCCCTCAGGTGACGTATCGGTGTGGGTGTCGAGAGGGCTTCAAGGCGATTCTTGTCAAGCAGCCCACTCCGAGGCAGTTGTGCGTGCCCACCTGCAGCGCCCTCGAGACGGGGGAGCGGCGAGGGCTCGGCCACCTGCTGTGCTCGAGCAACCTGCAGGGCCGCCTACCTGACAACAACAGCCAGGATCACGTCCGCGGTGAGTGCGTCGACAGTGAGGACGTGCTGATGGAAAACGGCAGTCGGGGGTACCGGTGTCAGTGCAAAGTCACCCACACCCTCATACCCTCTGCTGACTTCATGACGGACGACCCAAGCAATCCGATCAGCGGCAAGGCGGAGGTCTTCGCGTCGAGTCAAAGCGAGTATTGTCCAGGCGCCAAATTAGCCTGTCCGCTCAAAGGCCAAACCGCCTGTCGCGGGCTTGCTGCAGCGAGCGGCGACGTGCAGTGGCTGTGGGGGGAGTGTGTGCTGCCTCCTCCAGACAAAGATGACGGCCTCGACGATACCTTCGCCTGCAAATGCGGATTCTACAAGAGCCAGGCCAAATTTGAGACCGCCTACGACAAACAACACAACAAGTGCATCGGTGAGTCGTGACGGAGCCTCTCGACGGAGCTTCTCATCATCATGTGTGTTACTCAGCTCCCTGCAAGGGTTTTGGCGATTTGCTCTGCTCGGGCGTGGGGGACCTAGACAAGCCCTTTGTAAATCAGCAAGGACGATCGCCGTCCTTAGGTAAGGAGGTAAAGAAAGCGCCTGCGCCCGCATTTTGGTTGCCTTCAGGCCATTGTCGAGGATGGGAAGACGGAGTGACAGGAGACGACTATAATTGCACATGCGATCCCAACATCGCTTACGAGCGCCCTGGTGGCCACCCTTGCACCAAAACGCCCGTGTGCATGCCAGGGGGCTGCGACGACAAGGAGAAAGCGGCGTGCCAGGGGCCGGCAACAGACAAACGGTTTTTCCTCGGCCGCTGCTCTCCAAAGGCGCCAGATGATGCAGAGAGAGCCTATGAATGCCAGTGCGGGGCCTATTTTAAGACAAATGGAATCAGTGGGAGCCCTACAGCTGACAACAAGAAATGTCTGCGTAAGTGCTCTCTGTAGAACGAATAAGTAAATGTTCCGACTCGTCTGTTTCGTTGATGTCACTTCAGCTCGATGCAAGAGCCACGATGGCACATCGCCTGGTGTTGGTGATCGGCTGTGTGGAGGGGATGATCTCGCAGACCTGATGAGCCCGAAGGTCGACACCAGCATAGGTAAATGACGATGCCTCTCTAGCGTCTCTGGATGTCAATCTTTTGTCACGTGTAGGCACATGCGAGGACAAAGGCGATTCATATGAATGTACCTGCAAGGATGCCGTGAGCAACCCACATCATCCAATCTACCAAACCCCTTTCTGCGAGAAAAAAGCGCTTTGTGAGAAAAGCTGGATGAAAAGGGATTTGCTCAAGAAGGCACTTCGCAACTGTCATGGGCCGGCAAAGAAGGGGTAAGATGAGGTATAACCTTTTTCTCACGTCCTTCCCTGCTTTGTCCAATCCATGCAGCTACTACTTTGGCGAGTGCTACAGCTACCCCAGCTGGAAAGATCGAAATGCGGGCGAAGCCAAGTATGAGTGTATTTGTGGCAAGAATGAGGAATACGACACTGAGTACTCAAGGAAAGAGGAGGCTACGGAGGACCATGAATGGCCAAAGTGCCGAGGCAAGTGCATTTTCCGTTGGGTACCTCTATGTCTCTGTCTCCATGCATGCAGCTGACTGCACCTTGGGGAGCAAGATGTGCGGTACAGCGTCGAGCGACAAGGAGAAAAAGAAAGGAACATGCAAGATCGAACGAGAGAAATACATCCAAAAGGGGGTAAGGGAGGGAGGGAGGGACATCCATCCACACCACACACAGGGCTGACACCGACAGACGGCTGTCACGCTGCACTCACCGCGTGAATTAATGAAGAACAATGTTTCAGGTATACACATGCCAATGCGAAGGCGCATCTAAGCAGGACCCGCTCGTTGACGAGAACACGGGCACTGAATACTGCGAAGGTCAGCGACTTCATAGCTCCAGCCGACAACAGTCGATACTCCCATGCTCCAATCAGGTGAATGCGACCCGCAAGAGCATTCAGAAGGAATCTTGAACTGCGGCGGCCCGGAGGCAAGCAACCCGAAGGCCGAGAAGCAGCCGATTTGGCGCAAGTGTCGTGCAAGGGGCGCTGGCAAGGGATATCGCTGTGTGTGCGAGAGAGAATTCGTTCGCCGAAGAGTCGTCGACAAGACCGGCAAAGAATACGATATATGCGCAGGTACACTGAGCGCAGCGAGATTGGAACGCATCATGTCACTTATCTTGGTGTTGCTCACAGGCTCATGTGCTCTGGGGAGGTATCTATGTGGGGAGGTCTCAAAATTTGACACCGATAAGAACGGCAGTCCCTGGAACAAACTTTATCCTCCCTGGATAGTGGACAGTCCCAAGAATCCGCCACGTCTGCTTAAGTACGTTGCTGCAAAGGACAGGAGAAACAACGACATCATCGCGCCGCCAAGAGACATGGGCAGATGCTATGAGATCAAAGAAGGCCTCTATGCGGACCCTGACATATTCGCTAGGCAGTTTCCAGAGCATAGGCTGCAAGGTGAGTGTGGATGACGCCTGTGCATGTTCGCCTTACTGTTCGCATCCCTTGTTCACCAGATGGCTACTTCTGTGAGTGCTGCCAGATGCCGAAAGGTGGACCATGGTAGGTGAAAAAATAAAGATATTGCCGATAAATGTAAAAGCAATGTCACCGCCATGTCAGAGCGTCAGGTAAGGACATGAACCGCGACAAACAGCCCCCCCTGAGACACCGGTACTTCCATACCCTCCTGTGCAAAAGTGAGTGATGAGCTTCTGCTCACATATGTCCCCCCACAAAGTAGCGGCTATTCTGTGTCAGGGAATACCTACTGTGGGGGATCCGAAACTAATCAACAGTGCTTCTGCAGTGCCAGCCTTGAGTGCGAGACACCAGAAGAGTGCAAAAGGAAGACTAACACAAGAAATCTCAACCTCTTTACCAAAGAGGCGGCAGAAACCAAGAGAGGAGGCTTTGAAGGCAGCAGCTCGACTATGGGCGGACAGAAGAAGGCCGAAGTGCCGATTTTGACAGTCTGGACCGATCCACACCTGGACATGCCTGAGCTCGAATATGGCCGACCTGGCTACTGCTTCTGGTACGATGACTTGATGGCCTTTGCCCCACCGTTCAGCAAGGGGTGAGCAAAAAGCAGTACCAAATGCTTTAGCAAATGCTTATCCGCCATTCAGATACTTCAACGGGCAACCGCTGAGTGGCGAATCGAAGGCTGACGTATGCACGCGATCGGGAGACAAGGAAGACTCGAAATATGCTCATGTGGAGGGACACAATCGTGTCTCACGCCGAAGAAGTGCCTGATTGGTGAAGACTGGTAAAAGACGAAAGGGGATATGAGATACTTCTGCCAAACTGAAAAACGTTAGTGAGTGACACCCATTTCTCACGCACACATACACGGGCCTCTCTGTGTGCAGTTTGGATCGCTTTCAGCGGCATGGTTCCTTCTAGAGCTGCATGAGCTTGTATGATCAAACACGACACCGACCGATGTGTCTGTGACGCTGGCCTCATAATGATACTTTGCCTTCTCGTTTGCCAGGTATGAACTTTTCGAGTTTCCGTACCAATTGCCTCAGAGCACGAAAGAGAAGCCGACGCAAGAGCTGGAGCAGATTGAAACGCCCGACTCTGTGCTGCAGCAAAAGTACAAGACAAGTCGGCAGAGTTGTCCTATTGGCTTTGAGACATTTTGCACGAAGACAAAGGGAGCAAATGGATGTCTCATTGTGCAATGGAAGAAAACTGCAGAGGTAAAAGTCAAGGCATACACCGAATGAGCCCGAGCGTTTCTTCTTTCATGCGGATGTGATCGTTGCGGAGGGCAAAATTGACGGCAAGCGATGCAAAGTGCCAGACAACTCAAACGCCATCAACATCATCGACTATCAGCGCTGCAAAGTCAGGAAAAAACCTGGGACGGACGAATTAATGGGGGTGAAGTTATATCCATGCGAAAAGATCGAAACCAATTACAAGGTGACTGGATGGATTGAGGATACTCTCTGCTACGAGTTCTGTAAAATGCGATCCTTGCTTCCATGCAGGGTGCGGGTCAAGACCCAAGGTTGCCGCAATTTGACCCCAGAAAACGACGTTCGAGCGAAACGAAGGGCGGCGGAAGACAGCGATGCAGTCCAAGCAATGTGGCTGTAGCGGGTAAGCATTCTTTTCACTACCTAATTTACCTCACAACCACATCGCCTCTGAGCCTCCGATATAGGCTCTCATTCCTCCTCGACAGCATCAAATCACACCGTTACCAAGAAAACGACGAGCTCAGGTGAGTCGTCTGCCAGTCACAGCTGAGAAGAAGGCTTAGTTAGAACAAACTCTGGTGCGTGTGTATTCTGATCAGTCTCTTTCAAGTCCTCTATGCGAAGTAGTGAGACACAAAAGCCCATCCGTTTCCATAGTATGTCCTCGTGTGTGTCTGCCGATGTGACCTTGACAGGCTCAAGCACAGTGACCACATCACGAAGCGTAACGAAAAGCGGAAGCCACCAGACGTCCTCAGTCACAAGAGAGCAACGGGACCTCAGGATAGAACGTACGTGAGCCAGTGGGACTGTGCAGCTGCTACAAAAGGTCAGTCGTCTATATTCTCTCGTCAGGCACCGGCGGGCGGTAGACTGCTTGAGCCGATGGGCGACCAGAATACAGGCAGGCAAAAGATAAACCACATACATCGCACAGCCTGTTTGTGCTGTTACTGTTAGCTACCGAGAGAAAAGACTAGATGTCGCGTAATGGGTCGATGGACACTATGGTCAAGCCTGTTCTAATGTCCTGCCCACGAAGAAGGTCGAAGATAGCTATGTACATTATGCACGCACCCTATATGTGCACCGGCCAGGCTGGGTTGATGCGATAGCGTCTCTGAGATGAGTTCTCTGAGGGATAGACGATGGGGGCATACATACGTCCAACCAGCCTAAACACTGTATTTGCTGGTGTGGCAATCAAGGATGGAAGAATGGCCATGTGTGTGTGTGTGCTTGTGCATGGGCGACCAATAGATGGGCGAGAAACGGCTTTTGTGTATGTGACGTATACCATCGACATCGTGCAAATGTGTGGGCCTTGCTTGCCAAGAATACATCATCCCTGATGAGTTTTTGTCGGCCGTCGATCCAAGCTCGTAGAGGTCTGCGAGCCAAGCTGCTTTCCTTTGAGAAGGTGTAGTTGGCTGGGTGGGTGGTGGGCTGCTTACATACGAACAGACGCATGGATGGATGGATGGATGTGTGATGGTCCACATACTCACGATTTTCCTCCATCGATCATTCATGCCACACCACAGCCTTGTACGAAGTCGTAACTAACGCACACTGACTGACTGCAGGCCACCTGCGGCCCTTCCTTCAACACATGCAGCTTGCCAGCACGGCGGAAGCACAAGATCCATCAGTACACACAAACACATGCATCACCATGCCATCATGTGGATGGGCTTTCACCTTCATGGTCTACGGCTGCTGGCCATCGAGCACGACAGGCGCAATAGGGCTGACCGCGCGACGAATGTGAAAGGCCGTCAGGGGGAATCGTTGGGCGAGGGGGCGTCATGGGGGACACCCACTGCTGCAGCCTCGGTGGTGCGAATAGTGACGCGCACTGGATGCAGACAACAGCACAGCAGATGATCAAACGACACGACAGCATGAGGATGTGCTGTGAATGTCAAGATGCATGTGTACCGTCCTGGTTGTCGCCTGGGGGGATCTCGAAGCTAATCCCTGCGATGAAAGGGTCGGCACACGTCGTCAGCACATGCAGCTACCCACAGGTCTCACTGGCCGCCTCCCATGTCAACACGTGCGAGCATCCGTTGAGAGGCGTGTGTGGCGATTGGGTGATGATGATGTCGAGGTGGCCACCCCACACACGCCTGACACACACATCAATTGCGCACCACATAGCGATTCGCCCTCTCATTGCGTGTCGTCCATCGACTCACCGGTCCACCACCACTGCTGGCGAGTCGGCGAAGCCGCCCACAGCCAACACCCGGTGAACCAGCATCAGGTCCTTCAGCAGGTAGCTGGCCGATGCGTGAACAGGCGCGTCGTCGATGCCAACCGTCGCCCAGCCCACACCAGGCTGCCACCTAATGCGGTGGCGGACTGGCGGGTCGTTCGGCTTGGCGTGGTGGATGAAGGGGTGCTGCGAGAAGGGATGGACGGGCCGGTTTGCGAGGGGGAGGGGCGAGTTGATGGCGGCGGTGAAGTTGGGCTCGTTGCGGATGATCCGGAGCTCGTTGTTGTGGCGGAATAGGATGAGTGTACCGTCATGCTGGCCAGTGGGGCGCCGGAGGACGACATTGCGGCCGACGAGCATTCACTGCGCACAGAAACGGGGCAGTGACAAGAAGTCTTGATGAACAGACACACACATCCAGCAGCTCACCGGTTGCCTCTTCTGTGTGTCGTGCTTACCGCCTTGGTGGCGTGTGTCTGCAGGTCTCCAGCACCCACAGTGACCGGCAGCTGGCAATTGCCGCAGTGCTCGGCGAGTCTGAGCGTCCCGCCCGCCTCCCGCCAGCCGCCCTCGCCCCCCTCCTCCACCACCCACATGGCCTTCATCACATCGCCGTGGCTCAGCTGATCGTCGAACTGCACCACACCGCCCACCCCCGCCCGCTCGACGGCCGTCCGCAGGCGAAGGCTGCGGACGATGGGCCGCACGGCGTTGGTGAAGTGGCGGGCTGTCGATTTGAATCGGCCGATGGTGTTGACGTCAGAGGCTGCGACGATGATGCTTATGGGCTCAGCGGGAAGGTCCGAGAGGTCCGTCGGTGTGGCCTGATGCCACACAGCAATGCCATGCACACGCAATGCATCTGGCGGCTCGGTGTGTGTGTCTTGCTTGTGCCTGCCTGTGGTCACACACCTGCACGTGGCCATCGTTGCTTTGTGTGGCAGAATTGTTCGGCTCATCACCTGACAACGACACAGACACACACAAGGCCGGTTGTGTGTGTTGGTGTGCCATTCTACCTTACGAATGTGTGTGTCGGCTCACCCTCGTGTGTTGTCTGTGCGATGACGGTCTCTATTGTGTGCGCAAGCTCTGCCAGATGGTCGGACACAGCAGCGAGTTGACGATTCACCTTGGCCACCACCTGACGAATGAATGAACAGAACAAGAGCAACACCAAGCATAACTTGACAGAGGCCATTGTGTGGTTCTGTGTGCTGCTTGGCACCCTGCATGCACCTGTGTTGGCAGCTGAGTGGAGTCCATCTGTGAGAGCCGTGTGATCTGTGTGTTTGCCTGCACACATATGCCACCACCCCACAAGCAGCACCACAGGCAAGCAACCGACAGGTGAAAGATGGATGGACTGCATAAACGAATGTGCGAGTTAGCTACCTGTGTCTGATTCATCTGAAGGCATGCTGTGATCAAAAGCGTGAACTCCCGCTGCGGCAAGAGCTGCTCACGCACACGCAAAGCAACCATCTGCACCACACACATGCAGGACAACACAAACGGCACACAGACACGACGAATGCTATGATGCACGTGCTCAAGGGGAGGGCACCTTTGCCTTTATTCCCATCTTCTCTCACCCGAGTCTGATTGACGTCCATGGCCCAGATGGTATGAATCACGCTGCTGCTTGGACGCTTCAAGAGATTGAGCACGTCCCACTCATCAACCTCAACCCTTTGATCTCCTCCCCCTCTGCGATTTCTCTGCGAGCTTGAAAGGTATCTGCAAGCCAAGCTGTCCTTTCCGTGACTGTTCCCGATTGTTGGCATCGGCCATGACTGATGTGGATCCTTCATCCCTGTTCCCCATCATCCACGGCTTCCTCACAGCGCAGGGATTCACCAGAACGGCAAAAGTTCTGCGCAAGGAGCTCGGCGAGGTAAGCCAGAGGGCTTGTGTGCCCGAATGCACCGAGTATCTAGCGCTAGATAGCCGTGGAGATGGTGTTGCCTGCTCCTGTTGTGTCCACCTCAGGGCGTTGAACTCGGAACGGAAGAGGACTTGATGGCCATCTATGCGGCGTACGTGGCGGCACAGCAGGCTGAGCCGATGGTGAACGGCCACATACCAGCGGATCAGCCGAAGAAGAAGAAAAAGAAGAAGAGCAAGACCATCGAAGGTCTGTCACAACGATTGATGAGTGACATGACACACTCAGACACTCCTCCGTCTGTCTGTCTGTCTGTCTGTCGCCTGCCTGCCTGGCTGCAGCTGAGGACGAGGCACCGGTTGAGGAGCCTCCAGCAGCATCGACCGAGAAGCCAAAGAAGAAGAAGAAGAAGCGACCAGCCGTCGATCAGCCCGACGAAGTAACTGAGGAGCAGGAAGAGTCAGCTGAGCAGCCCGAAGTGAGCACGGTCAAGGTCAAGAAAGCCAAGAGGGCCAAGCTGGCGGCTGAGAGTGTCGATAGCGCACCAACGGAGGAGCAAGAGACGAATGACGTGGTCGACAAGGGGAGCAAGAAGAAAGCAGGTGTGTCAAGGGAGGGAGGGAGGGAGGGAGGGAGGGAGGAAGGGCCCTACCACATGCACCACGTGTGTGTGCAGGTGGTGTGCCGTTCAAGCGCATCGACGAGAGCAAGTTTGCGGACAAACTCCACGAGCCACTCAAAGACAACTCCTTCATCGCAAAGGTACACCACAGACACCCGTCCTTCAGAGAGTGTCCCGGCTGCACACTGTCTGTCTGTCTGTCTGTGTCGTCAGGCCAAGTGGGGTCAGGGTGCTGGTGATGTGTTCGCAGCCAAGGCAGCTGAAGACCTGGGAAAGGTAGGGACAGGACAGGTCATCCCCCGGTCGTCAGGAGATGAGACGATATACCCCCTCTGCGGTGCGGTGTGGCGGTGTGTCAGGTGCGTGGTAAGGATTTCCGCAAGGAGATGGCCAAGAAGAAACGGTCGTCGTGGAAGGGGGCAGGGGAGATCGACACGGGCGTCAACTCCATCCGATTTGACGACTCTGATTAACCCACAGACGGGCTGACAGACAGTTGTCACAGGCTGAGCTGAGCAAGTGTGCAAATGGCTGACGGGGTTCATGTCATACGGCAGGCTATGGGTGTCGTGAAGAGGTGCTGGTGTGAGAGAGAGAGGTGTATAGAAAGGACGAGGAAGGAACTGAAGAGTGAGTTCAAGTCTGCAGCCGAGACCGCTCGTCTGATGAACGAATGCGTTGAATGATACGATCACAAACACATGGACATTAATTTGCACCCGCGCAGCGCAGCGAGTTGGTCATTCATCTACTCATACACCACTCGTCCACTCATGCAGTCAGTCCACACAAGTACACCACCTTTCCTCCCTCCCTCTCCCCTTTCTCTACTGCAGGGCGATCTGCCCGTTGGCGCCGTGTTCGTTCTGCTCCTGGATGGTCTGCTTGGCGCGCTCATTGTCGATCTGCTTCATGGCGCTCTGGCGGTCGCGAATGGTCACCAGGAAACAACGGTCGGCAGGCTCAATCAACTCGGGGCTGCACCGCACCCACACACGTCGTGTGGATGGGTGTGGCGTGCGCGTGTGCCTGGCCTGGGTGTGTGTGAGTGTGATGTGACTGACCGGAATGTGGTGACGATGAACTGGGCCTTCTCGCTCTGCTTGGCGATCCTGAGGGAGGGAGGAACTCACAGACACAGTGACCGCCGGCCGGTGTGTGGGAGGGAGGGGCTGCCGCAGGGTGTGGTGTTGGCGCTCACAGTGTGGCGACAGCGGCTCTGTATTGGCTGTCGAGGGCGGCGTCGATCTCGTCGAACAGGTAGAAGTGAAACTAGTCGATACGATGCCCCCACGCATTAAGATAGACGTCAACACAATTGACATGTGTGTGTCTTTTGGTTGTTGCCAGGCAGCATTGCATACGGGGTCGTGTCGTTGTATGGCGAAGATGAATGCGAGCGCCACGACGGTCTTCTGACCACCTGCAGGGACCCACCCCACCCACGGCACGGCATACACGTGAGATACTCATGGAGGGAGGGAGGCACCGCACCCTACCTACTGACCTGATAGCTGCTGCATGGTGTAGTAGGAGTCCTCCTTGCCGCTGAACGACACCTGTGTTAACACAGCAACACGTCATGTCACGTCACACAGGCCAGCCGCGATGGATGGCTGGACGCATCAATCACTTTCTTTCCCCCATGGCGGTTTGACTGACTGACTTTGATGGTGACGCCCTTCCACTTGTCGGTGCGGGACATGGTCAGGCCCTGCTCCTTCTCTGATACAATCCGTTCAGGCGGAAAACGACACACACTGTGTGTGTGTTGGTGAAGGTGGTGGGGGGGCCGCCTACCGTATTGCTCGACCTCCTCCTTGGGCATGGTCGTCAGCACCTGGCGCACAACCACACACACATCCATCCATCCATCGCTTAGAGAGAGAGAGAGAGAGGCGTGTTTGTGTGGCGACCAGCTTGGCCTTGCCACGAGGCACCAGCTCCTGAAACGTCTGATGATTTTGCCACGGACACACCCACAGAGATTTGTATGTCGGCTGTATGGTGCTGATCTATGTCTGTGTGTGTGAGGCACCTGCTTGAATTCGGTGTTGATTTTGCCGAAGGATTTGTAGAGCGTCTCGTCCTTCTTCCGGTCCATCGTCTGCACACACACACACACACACAGACGACCACAGAGATATGTGTGTGTGTGTGTGTGTGTCTTCTACTGTGCACTGACTGACCGAGATGAAGTCGTCTATCTTGCCGCGAGTGTCCTTGAAGGACTCGTGAGTCTCCTCCAGCTGCTCGGCCTGGTCTGCACACTCATGGGAAGGAACAGAGCAATGCGCGTCTATGTTCTCTGCCGCACGCGCCATGCTCTCCAGCTCTCATGGTGTGCATCGCCCTTGCCTTTGAAGGTGGTGAACGTGTCAACGGCCTTCTGGTTGATGCTGCCAAATGCGCCCAAGGCCTATGTGTGTGTGCGTGTGTGAGCAGACAGGCGATTTGTGTGTGGTGGTTGGTCTCTCCTCTCTATGTGTGTGTCGGCTTGGCACAGACCTCGTTGATCTTGGCGAGCTCTTTTCTGAGTGTGGGTACGTCCATTTTGTTGTATTTGAGGAGCTCCCTGTCGGCCGACGCTATGGCGATCTTGGTCATGCGGTCGTTGGCCTCGCTCTTTTTCTTCCTAAAGACACACACAGACAGACACACCGATGGATGGATGGATGTGTGTGTGACGGGGG